TGCTGCTATCTTCCTCCCTCCCGCTGCTGCTGCTGCTGCTCTCGTCCTCGCTGCTGCTGCTGCTGCTGCTGCTGCTGCTGTCATTAAGGGAATAACCATCATGTACTAAGGAAGGATCTGCTATTGCTATTGCTAATGCCTCTATGCATAACTAAATAAAAAAAAAAAAAGGAGACAAAAAAGGAGACAAATAAATAAATAAATAAATAAATGAATATAAATAAATAAATAAATAAATAAATATAAATAAATAAATAAATAAATAAAAAGAAAATATATAATAAATAAACAAAAAGGAGACACGTAGATAAAAAAGAAATAAAGAGGAAAAGGAGACAAAAAAGGAGACAATAAAATAAATAAATAAAAAGGAGATAATAAATAAATAAATAAATAAAATAAATAAAATAAATAAATAAATAAATAAATAAATAAATAAAAAGGAGACACATAAATAGATAGAAATAAAGAGGAAAAGGAGACAAAAAAATAAATAAATAAATAAATAAATAAATAAATAAATAAAAGGAGACACTTATATAAAGAGGAGACACTAAAAAAAAAGGAAATAAATAAATAAATAAATAAATAAATAAATAAATAAATAAATAAGTAAATAAAAAAGGAGACACAAAACTTACTGCTACAGTTTGAGGAAAATTATTTTGTGTTGGATCTGCTGGTCTAAAGAAAGAAGCAGCAAATATTTCTGCTAACTTTTGTGGGGTCATCTATAAAAAGAATAAATAAATATATATAATTAATTTTATTTATTTATTAATTAATTTTATTTATTTATTTATTCTATTTATTTACGGAAGAGATATTCAGCAAAAAGAACAAAAAAAGGAAAAAAATTGACGATTTTACGATACAAAAGGGTTTTAGGGTTTAGGGTTTAGGGTTTAGGGTTTAGGGTTTAGGGTTTACGAGGTTTCTGGCAGAATGGCGAGAGACTTCCTGTAATAGAAGAAGAATAAACTGCAGCAAGGCAAATAATAACAAACCCTAAACCCTTAAAGCCTAAACCCTAGACTCGTAAAGCCTAAACCCTAGACTCGTAAACCCTAACCCCTAAACCCTAAACCCTTACACTTGACTTACCATAACGCATTGTTTTTCGTTGTGAGGGACATTCATGAAGAGCTGCAGAGAAGAAGAAGAAAGAGACAGGCACAAGGGTTTAGGGTTTAGGGTTTAGGGTTTAGGGTTAATATTGATTATATATTATCTTGCTAAACACTACGCAACAGCAAAAACAGCAACAAAACCCTCATTAGGATTAACCCTAAACCCTAAACCCTAAACCCTAAACCCTAATAGTGTGAATAAGAATTACAGTTTTCATCTCGGAGATAACACGACTTCTTCCTCCTCCCGCCGCTGCAAGCAAACGTCCAAACCCTAAACCCTAGAAAACCCTAAACCCTAAACCCTAGAAAACCCTAAACCCTAAAGAAGTGTGTAAACCCTCAAATAAACGGTAATAATAAAGTATCATATAAATCGTAAACCCTAAACCCTAAACCCTAAACCCTAACCTGCAGCTGCCTGCATTGCATTGAATGCATTAGGACCAAATAAAGGAGGATCTAAACCCTCAAGAAGAAGACGAAAAGAAGAAGACAAGGAAGGAGTATCTAACCAATCTACATTAGGGTTTCCTGTATCTATATCCCCAATAAATGCATAAATATTTTTGCATGCAGACTGCAGCAAGAATAAATCCTTTATATATATATTATTATAATTAAATAAATAATATTTATATTCAATTAATATATTAGGTATATTATTTAATGATGAAGAAACCCTAAACCCTAATCTATCCGATAAAAACCCTAATGATACACCATAAACACTTATTATATTCGTAAACCCTAATCTTCTTTCTTCCTCTACTTGTACACAATAAGGTACTAATCTGTACACATCATAACAACCCTAAACCCTAAACCCTAAACCCTAAACCCTTTTCTAATTAATATATTCTTTATTCACCATTTATTAAGGTTTTATACAACACAAACTTACTCTTCTAACACAAACCCTAAACCCTAAACCCTTAACAAACCCTAAACCCTAAACCCTTATACCTGATACCTTGTCCATTACGCATTTGTAGTGTTTTATCACACCCAAACCCTAAACCCTAATAAACCCTCATAAACCCTAATAAACCTTAATAAACCCTAATAAACCCTAATAAACCCTAATAAACCCTAATAAACCCTAATAAACCTTAATAAACCCTAATAAACCTTAATAAACCCTAATAAACCCTAATAAACCCTACTAAACCCTAATAAACCCTACTTTCTTACTTGATAGCTTGTGCATTAGGCATTTGTAGGGTTTTAATAACATCAGCTAATTTATCTAAATAAATAATCTTTTTGTTTATATCTGCTGAATAAAAAGAAGAATAAAAAGATATAAACCCTTGGGATCCTGTAGATGCATGCAACATGTAAACCCTAATTATATTCTTCTTTATCTTATTAGGTAATATACTAAATACTGCACACACCAGCAGCAGCAGCAGCAGCAACACCAGCAGCAGCAGCAGCAGCAACACCACCAGCAGCAGCAGCAGCAGCAGAAAGGCACACACACACACACACACACACACACACATACATAATACATATTTGCTGCTGCAGTTGCTGCTGCTGCTGCTGCTGCTGCTGCTGCTATTGTTGTATTTGTTGCTCCTGCTCTTGTAGCTGAAGCGGCTGTTGTTGTTTGCTGGAGCTGAGGCTACTGCTCCCTGATGTTTAGGGTTCCGACTTTGGAGCCTAGGGTTTAGGGTTTAGGGTTTAGGGTTTAGGGTTTAGGGTTTAGGGTTTAGGGTTTAGGGTTTAGGGTTTAGGGTTTACAGGGCATGATCATAAATAGTTCCTGTAGCAGTAACAAGACAAGGAACAAATAATAAAACTTCATTCCCTTCTATATCTTTACCCATATAACGCATTAAACCTCTTAATTTAAACCTAAGAAAAAAAAAACACAAACCCTAAACCCTAAACCCTAAACCCTAAACCCTAGAGTCTAGAGTATAAACTCTAATATGTAAACCCTAGAGTCTAAACCCTAGAGTATAAACCCGTGGATTTTCTGTGGTAGTTTATGTACATCTTCTCTCATAATTAAAGGCAAATAATTAATACCCAGTATATTTAAGGGTTTAGGGTTTAGGGTTTATAAGGTTTAAGGGTTTAGGGTTTAGGGTTTAGGGTTTAGGGTTTACAGATAATAATCTTCATGTTTAGCATTCTCAATAGCTGTTTTATATCTTTGAATTAATTCGGGGGTTTGTTCTGTCTCTGTATCCAAGAATGACATCTTCGCGTCTTTTTTTAGGGTTTAGGGTTTAGGGTTTAGGGTTTAGGGTTTAAGTATTTTTCTTTTTTATTTCCTTTTTTTATTTCTTCTCTCTCTTTTTTTAATTAACTTCTTCCTTTTCCTCCTTTTTGTCTTCTTTATCTTTTCTCCTTTATTTTACGTCCTTTTTTTCTCCTTTTGTGTGTCTTCTTCTTCTTCTTGTTGCTACTACTGCTGCTGCTGCTGCTGCTGCTGCTGCTGCTGCTGCTGCTGCTGCTGCTGCTGCTGCTGCTGCTGCTGCTGCTGTGTGTCTCCCTTGTTGTCTGTATATAGCTGGCCTTTGCCCGCGTAAAAACTCTATAAAAGACACAAACAACTGCTGCTGCTGCTGCTGCTGCTGTTGTTGCTGCTGTTGCTGTTGCTGCTGCTGCTGCTGCTGCTGCTGCTGCTGCTGCTGTTGCTGCTGCTACTTCTGTTGCTGTGCTACTTCTGTTGCTGCTGCCGCTGTTGTTGCTGCTGCTACGACCTTCTGCAGAAGGATTCTCTCCCTAGCATTGTCAATAGTAAATCCCCAACCCCTAAACCCTAAACCCTAAACCCTAAACCCTAGATATGCGGCGGCAATTGCTGCCCCTTGTGTGTGTGTATTAGATCTGCTGCAGCAAAAAAGTTTGCTGCTGCAGCAAATAAGGAGCGCATGCAGCCCCAAAAAGGTTTAATAGAATAAAAGGTTTAGTTAAATATAAATAGGAAGGATAAATTGGGGTGTATAGGCAGCTATATATATAAATAAATAAACAACAAGCTGCTGCTGCTGTGCTAGCAGCAGGTGTATGTACACCTAGTAAGGAGGATGAGGGTATATATTGTTAATAAAAGGATAAATAATATAATAAATAAATAAAATTAAATATAAATAAATAAATAAATAAAAAGAAGAAAAGATTTGTCAATAAAAAGGCATAGAAGCCGCTAAATAATAGGGCCCCGCTACCAGGGTCGTTTTTGCTGCTGCTGCTGCTGCTGCTGCTGTTGTTGCTGCTGCTGTTGCTGCTGTTGCTGTTGCTGCTCATTCTGGTGCTCTTTTTGCTGTTCTTGTTGCTATTATACCTTAAAATACTCTTATATATGTTATTATATTAATAAATAATAAATAAATAATAAAAATAAATAAGTATTTGCTTCTTTTTTTTTCCTCGTAGTTGGGGTGTACGTACACCTCAATTGCGAGCCAAACGGTCCATCGGATCGGCTTAAAAAGAAGAAAAATAAACCCTTTTTTATGTTGACCATCTTTCTTCTTTTTTTTAATTTATTTAATTAATTATAATTAATATTTATATTATTTATTTATTTTACTCCTTTTTTTCCTTTTTTATCCATAAAAAAGGGCAAAAAAGTGGCGCTATAGGCATGCCTCATAGATACCCAACACACATATACATAATAAACCCTAAACCCTAAATATCTAAACCCTAAACCCTAATTTGTAAACCCTAAACCCTAAATATGTAAACCCTAAACCCTAACTTGACGAATTACTGAGGGTTTAGTGGGGTACGTCGCCTCCCCTATGGCAAAGAGTATCTGCCCCTATAATCATTGCTACTAAACCCTAAACCCTAAACCCTAAACGGTAAACCCTAAACCCTAAACCCTCAAAAAGGAAAAACGAACAACTGCCCCCCTATACACCCCAACAACCCTACTTACTAAACCTCCCTACAAGGGTATTACTAGGGTTTACGGTTTCCTCTATAGCTAAATAAATAAATAAATAAATAAATAAATAAATAAATAAATAAATAAATAAATAAATAAATAGATAAATAAATAGATGAAGGTTTACAGGGAGCTTCCCCCTTATCTACTGAATAAGAAGATCATAATAAGAAAGGGTTTAGGGTTTAGATATCCTCTAAGTCTATATTTACTGTTCTCCTCTAGGGTTTGGGGTTTAGAGTCTTAAAAAGAAAAAAGGGTTTAGGGTTTAGGGTTTAGGGTTTTTATAACACCAGCAGTAACCCCTTCCTATAAGACCCGAGAATTAAAAACACATATAGGGCAGCCGCTG